TTTAAGGCAGCTTAATTATGGCTCTGAGTTTGAAGGGATCATCATGGGGAAGGCATGATGGCAGGAAACTGAGGTTGCTTGCCAGGTCTCCAATCACAGATTTAAAAGGATGAACATTGCTTCTCCTCCCAATCAGTGAATTTTCCCCCATTCATTCACTTGGGGCTGGGATTGTGCTGCTCACATTGAGGGCAGGGCTCCACATACTCAGGGTGAGTATGAGAACACACCCTCATAGAAACACTAAGAGTCATGTTGCCTGGTTGAGTCCAAATTCAGTCAAGGAGACAGTGCACAGTTATTGTCAAAGAAAGAAAAAAAAAATCAGCAGCAACAACAAATCTTAGGAAGGGGAAATTTAAATTCTATTATTTTCATGATGTAATCAACAAGTCCAGTGCTTTCTTCATTTTTTTTTAGACATGTAGTTTTACGTGGCCCAGTCTAGCCTAAAATTTGCTATAAGGCTAAGGATGATGTGTTGATTTCTGTTCCTCCTGATTCCACCTCCCTAATGCTAGGAAAACAGGCATGAGCCACACTGCCTGGTTTATGTGGTGTTATGACTTGAACTCAGTGGTTCCTGCATCCAAGGCAAGCAAGCACTCTACCAATTGAACCACATTGACAGCCTTAAAATGTCTAGTTTTCCAAAAAACAAAACAAAACAAAACTTACAAAAAAAGGTATACAAAAAGAGAATTACTGGGAAAGTATCATCTTTGGTGATGAAAACTGGCTGCAACAAAAGTAAGCTATTTTAAATATGTTTTAAAATGAAAGAAAATTTATTAATGAAATGAAAAGAAACCATGAGAGTAATTTTTCAGCAAATAGGGTCACCTAGGTAGCTCAGTGGGCAAAGGCTTCTATGACAAGTTTCTTCACCCACTGAACTCCCTCTTTGGCCTTATCATTTTTTCTAAGGATTTTTCAATTGCCCTAATATTACTTGTTAAATATGGCACTTACCTGGTTGAAAAGTTAAAAAGTTAAAAAGCATCAAGCCAACATGTGTGGGCTCATGTCTGAACTTTGACTTGTAGCCCATTAATGTGTATGTGTATTCTAGGTCAACATTCACCCTTGGTGTTTGTAGCTTTGCGTAAGTTCTCAAGTTTGGCTGGGGTCCTTTAAGATGGATTTGAGGAAAGCTGCTGTTTATTTAGCAGGAGGTTGACATCAGATATGTTGATGTGTGTAAGCTCCATGTTCTGGTTGGGAGATCACCCAGAGCCCCTTTTGCAAATTGGATCCGTGTTAAACCCACAGCCAGGCACACTGCTTTGTTCGACAGAAAGAACAAAGTGCACACAGACATGTGGCATTTCTGAGCCTTGATTCTCCAAGTATTACTGTGGTGATTAACTCTTGTCCTGGTTTCTCTGTCTTTAACTGCCTTACTTTAACCCTAATTACTTGAAATGGAATCTCCATCATAAGTGTTTGTGAAATCCTGGTTTTAAGATGTTGAAAAGAGTTTTTATATGTGTTAAAATGCACACATAATTATTGAAAAGAAAGTTTGTCTAGCTCCTACAGTTTCTTTTTAAAAATTTTAATTATTTTACACCCCAGCTGCAGTTTCCCCTCCCTCCTGTCCTCCAAACCTCTCCTCTACCCCTCTGTTCCCACCCCATGGTGTAGGAGGTCCTTCTATCTATGTGTTGCTTTCATTGGTTGAATAAAAAAAAAAAGCTGCCTTGGCCTTTTGATAGGGCAGAACTTAGGTAGGTGGAGAAGACAGAACTGAATTCTGGGAAAAAGAAAGCAGAGTGAGAGAACTGCCATGGAGTTGCCAGAGACAGACATGCTGAATCTTTCCCAGTAGGCCACTGCCACGTGGTAATATACAGATTAATAGAATGGGTTAAATCAAGATGTGAGAGTTAGCCAATAAGAGGCTAGAGATAAAGGGCCAGGCAGTGATTTAATTAATACAATTTCTGTGTGATTATTTCGGGTGTATGCTAGCTGGGCGGCCAGGACCAAAAGCAGGCCCTCTCTCCTTCAACAACCCTACAATCCACTCCTTTATTTCTCTTTAGGAATGGGAAGGTTTCCCATGAGTATCAACAAAACATTGCACATCAAATTGCAATAAGATGAAGCACCTTCCTATATATTAAGGCTGGGCAAGGAGACCCAGTATGGGAAGTAGGGTCTCAAAAGCCAGTAAAAGAGTTAAACACAGTCCCTGTTCCTGCTGTTAGGAGTCCCACAAGAGATAAATCTACACAACTATAAAATATATGTAAAAGGCCTAAAGTCAGTCCCATTCATGCTGCTTGGTTATCGGTTCAGTCTCTGTGAGCCCTATGAGCCCAGGTTGGATGATTCTGTGGGGTTTTTGTATGTGTGTGTATGTGTGTGTGGCATCCTTGACCTCATTGGCTCCTACAATCCTTTTTCTTCCTCTTCTGCAGGATTCCCTGAATTTCACCTAAAGTAGGCTGTGAGTCAGCATCTGGAAATCAGTTGCTGAATGAATGTCACCTCTCTGATAACAATTGAGTTAGGCACCAATCTAATCACAAGAGATGGCCAGCTCAGGCTGTGGATCCACTATTGCTAGGAGTCTATTTCCCCTTGTCAGGGAGATCTGGGTTCCTTTACGCCACGGACCCTCCTTGTTACCTAGTCTCTCTGAACATCTATGATTGTTAAAGAACCCTTAGGCATTTTAATACTGTCCTCAGGGAGGCACATCTGTGTGGCGATGCCCTTATTTCTGTGAGAAGATATTTGATCAGACTCCCACTATGCAGTGCTTAGTCTCCAGTCTGATAATCATGCTAATCAGTGGCCTTATCTATAAATGTAAGCAATATATTTCCCTATATGAGCTATCTTTATTTTACTGGGTGTTTTCTAGAAGTCATAATCCTTTGGGTTTCCTAGTAGTTATCCCTGATCAGATTGTCTGTTGTTAAAGACTGAACCGTATCCCTTTCAATGACATTGTGAAGTTCTAACCCAGCATCCCTGGGATTGGGAGCATATTTGGAAAGAGCCATCTAAGATGTAATCTAGCCAGTAGGGATTCCTGACAGATTAAGAGTAGCTCTAAGTCTTGTACTGGCAGCTGGCGTCTGTATAAGATGAAAGAAATTTAGCATACATTCACTGATAGAAGTAGAGACTGAAGTCATGTGTCAATAAAACTAAGAATGCCCAGTACTGTGTGTGTTTCGGAGGTTTTATTGCTGTTATGACACCATGACCAAAAACAGCTTGGGGAGGAAAGAGTTTATTTTGCTTACACTTCCACATCACAGTCAATAATGGAAGGAAGTCAGAGAAGGAACTCGTGGCAGGAACTGAAGCAGTGGCCTCAGAGGAATGCTGCTCACTGGCTTGTGCCTCTTGGCTTCCTTAGACTGTTTTCTTATAGCACCCAGGACCCAGTAGGTGGCAACCACCCTCATTAACCATTAATCAAGAAAACATCCACAGATCAATCTGGTGAGTGCATTTTCTCAGTTGAGGTTCTCTCTTCCCAAATGATGTTAGCTTATGCCAAACTGACATCAGACTAGCCAGCAGAGTTAGTGATCGCTGCAACTTAAAAGAGCTAGTGCATTCTGAGACCTTCTAAAATGGATGGTAGAACTCCTGATTCTGTACCTCTTCAGGAAATCTAAGGGTTATTAGTTTTTTGATTGATTTAAGCTTCCTGAGTTGTAGTAACTTGTCCCGAACCCCAATGAAACAGTCTTTCCTACCTTTCCTAATCTCTGGAAGCCGGATGAGGGCTCGGGCCTTTCATTTCATTCATGAAGACCTGCTGACCCTCAGGTCTTGAAGCAGTTTCCTCACGTGTACTAAATGTCTTATTTTATTGACTAATTGATTGATTTAGTGAGTGGATTGATAAAACCTTCCAGCTACGTGGTCTTTGGATTGTAAAGAAATCAAGCCCATATTTGCAAAACACAACAATAGTGAGGCAGAGCTCAACCTCACTTCTGAAAATTCTGTCCTTGTCGCCATGGTTCATCTGCTACAAAATAGACAGCTAGAGTCAAGTGGTGTCTTTAATCCCTCGAAGCTGAGAGCAGTGGTTCCATGCAAATAGTTTTGGAGTCCCGAGTTCAAGAATACTTGTTGAGTTTGCGTTAAAATTGAGACCTACCCATAAGAGAAAAATTGGAACACTTGGAGCTTAGTTTTTATTTAATAACATTGTACTACTTACTGTACACTAGGCCTCATTTGTTTCATTTGATGGAGGCTACCACAGTCTTCACAAGTTAAATTGTTATCATTTGCATCTTTATGCATGAAGCAACAGAAGCAAAAAGTCCTGTCATTTGCTGAAGGCCATGGTCAAGAAGCTGCGTAACCTAGATCCAGTTCAGGGAAGTTATAGGGCATACATGCACTGCTCTCGTGTGTGTTCTGATTGCACTTAAAGTTTTAGATTAACATCTTGTCACCCAGGCAGGCCTCCTTCATGCCATGTACCTTGTGTTATATGTTGCATATGGTCCACAGCTCTGTATTCTCCCTTTTTTGTCCAGGTTCTAAACTGCCTCCTATATCACACACAGTAGACACATAATCAATGTGACTGAAGATATTCGTATAAATGGTGCCAAGGAAGGTACTTCGTAGAAGCTGTGGGCCAATCATATTGCCAGGTGGTTGGGAAGGCCATGCTGTCATTGACCTTCTTGAAGCCTTTAGTCATTTATGTTCAAATCCCTTGGCTCCTTGTTAAGATTTTGTTTTCCTGGACTTTATTTATTGCATCAGACTCTCTGAGAGTGAAATTTTCCCAACCTCATTACACATGGTATTCTCAGTGTCTGTAGTATCTTCTCCCAGTTCAATATCTTCATCAGAAAAATTTCCCAGCCTCTCAGGATATTTCTGTTTATATAGAAGTTGGCAGGTGAGGCACCCATGTCTCTACCAAAAATTTGGTATCAGTTCCATATAGCTCTTTGCCCCCTTAACGTGCCCATGTCTTTTTTTTAAAGCTCCCAATCACTTGCCTGTAAGTTCCTGGAGGTCAAGGTCTTTCACTGTCACAAACCAAGCGCTTGACATGGTATCCAGCAGGTAGCAGTCAGTCAGTAATATAACAGGGATGTACAAAAAAAAAAAGCCAATAAAATTAGTGAGTAATTAGGAACTCTTAATTTCTCCTCAAATTTCTACCAAGACTGCACAAGAGCAGAATATGTCTTTTTATTCAGCATTTACTGGAAGATCACATCTTGCCCCTCAAGCTTATCCCCCAGTCACTTCCTCAGTCACAGGATCCAACATGGCATTAATAGTCTTAGAAAAACAGGCACAAGTCACAAGGATAGACAAGGATTACTTGTCTTACTCATTTTGTTTGAGAGAATGTAAGTGCAGGGAATTTAGATGTTGGTGGGACTACAGCCCTTTAGCCTCCAAAATAATACCTAGTAAGCGTCGCATGGCTTCTGTTGGAATGCAGGAAGAAAGCAGGAGTAACAGCCAGTAATTGGCAAATCACTGTATTTCAAACAAAACACACCCCTTTGGCAATCTAGGCAACTACAAGTTAAGGGAGCCAACATCTATGCTTCATAAAATATGGAATGCTTTCATTTTCTGATAGAATCTAACACATGCTGTATTTGTTGTATCTAATTTAGTAATGCCTGCATATAGGTGTTTTTAATGAGCCCAGTGGCCTTTGTAACATTGTGTATGTGGAAGGATATGAGACCCTTTGAGATTTCTTTCCCTTCTCACCCCCGAGTTTATACAAACTTGCTTTATGTTTACACAGCCAATAACCAAGTAATTTGCCAAAAAAAATTAAGTTAGGACAAACTTTTTTTTTAAGACTTTGATCATGAGTTTGACTCTAGCCAGGTGGCCCTACATAAAACCTTTCTCTCATTATTTTTTAAAATGTCCTAATAGGATGGAAAAATTAAATTCCTTTGTTAATTAATGTCTTTATTCCTAGTATTTAATAAAGCATTGTGTCAGTGAGAGGTTATTTTGTATATATACAGTATGGTCAAGAGTATATATGTCAAGAGTAAACAAATGAATGATACCTATGGAGCAATTTAGTGGCTGGGGAGATGGCTCAGTAGCTAGTATGCTTGCCACTCAAGCATGGGGACCTGAGTTCTGATCCCAAGCATCCACATAAAAAGCTGGGTGTGGTGGTGCACGTCTGTAATCCCTGCACCGATGATGTAAGACAAGCATCCTTGGGGCATGCTGACTAGGCAGCTTAGCTGAATCAGCAAGTTCAAGGTCCAAGGAGAGAACTTGTGTCAGAAGAAAATGAAGAGTGATTGGATTACGGCACACAGGAAAGTATGGCATTACAATGTTTATTGTGGAAGACTGAGGTGAGGGGAGGATTGATTGACCAATCCTCATGTCTTTATAACCTATAATTGTTAATTATCAAATCAAGAAATTCTTGTGTCATATTCTGTCTTCTATGGCACTATTTTGATGTCTATATTTCAAACTCTAAGGACTGTTTAAAAATACATTATCATATAGAAAGTTGTAATTCCTTAAAACCATAAACATATCTAGTCAGCATTAAGAATTTTTCAGCTGTGTATGTTAGTGTGTGTGTATGCATGTGTGTGTGTCTTTTATTTTTCTCTTTCAAGTAGTCAGCTTATTCAAATAAAGATCTAAACAGGCTCTGCACAACGCATTTACTTGATGGTGGCTAAGAATGAAATACAAAGCCTCACAGCTCCAGAGAGTGTTCCACCAATTGCATTAAATCCTCAGTTAACTCAACATATTCCTTAAGCCATCTTTATTCTGTAGGCCCCTCCTTTCTTCTCCTGACCATTTTATTCCTTTGTAGCTTATTTGTCATGGAAACCAATTCACTTCAAGCTTTCGAGTCTGAAACGGCACTTTCATCGTCTTAATGTATATATTTTGTCACCTTTTTTCTTATAATGTAGTAATTACATCTAAAGGCTTAGTCTGATTGTGTCTGTGTCTGTGTGTGTACATTTATGTGTGTGTATGTGTGTGTCCATGCTTGTGTGTTTACTATATGCATAAGGCTCTTTCTTTTAGAAGAGCAGAACTCTCGTCTTGGGAGATACATACCTGGATGTCTCTCTTCTAGTGAGATGAAGATGAATCTGTGAGTTTAGCTGGAAATGGATGACATTCGCATCACTAAAATACATGCCAAATCTGAAAAACGAAGTATTTTATTTCTTAGTCTCAAAGATACCTTTAAACAGCAAACACATGCATCAATGTACAAGTGTAAACAGTTGCTAAACCCACCTATCTGTTTTATTCGTGATCACTTTGCATGTGAAAGCTCTCGTGTTTGTTTTCTGTGAACTGAATTTGAGGCTTTGACTGGGAAACCATAAATCCAGTCTTTGATGATATAAGACTTCGCTGAAAGGCCAGATTGGAAAGGGTCCCTGCTAATTTGTCTTCTTAGTGATAAGTGGCAAGCATCCCACTCACTCCTTTCTGGTCTAGCACACCACTGACTTCATCCTTCTAAAAAGTTTTCTCTTTCATGCTTAATTTTTGATGAAAAAGGTCTTGCTAGGGACATCCAAATCAGCCAGGTTGCACAGGTCACATCTGACAAGCGCCTCAGGTGTGGGCAGATGAACGAGCGCCTTCTAAGTCCAGGAGTGCAGCCGCTTCTTCTCACGTTCCCCAGACACTAGTTAGGCGTAATACACTCGGAAGGTTGCTTGTCTAATTTGAACTGCAAGAGACTTTGGCTAGAGGGTAACTCTGTGTCCCCGTGATAAAGGAACACATAAAACAACCCAGTGCCTGATCACTCTCCCTGACTGTCAGTGAATCATGTCTAATAGCACCTCCATGCAGTTTGCGCCAATTTGCCTGCAATGGCATCCTTTTCCGTGGGCTTGCTGCTCAGCAGGCCCTGAAGCAATCTATGAATAACTTCCCAACAGATGCTGTTTATGAATTGAAGCAAATGGCTTCCCTGTTTCTCTTTTTTCTCACTTCAATAATTTTCAGTTACATTACGATGAATATTTATAGTCCTGTAGCAGTGCATAAAAATGGAGACCAAGCAGACCTGGGTATTGTTTCATACGTGAGTGCTGTTCTAATGGGCTCCGGCTGACTGGTTTTAATAATGTTCTGTTGATGGACCGAAAAGAGGATGCAAATTGTAGATCAGTCATTTCCATTCATTGTTTTACCTGGATGGGCAGTGATGGAGAGCAGGCAGCATCCTCTACTCTCTTGTGATATCTTCCCTTGCCCAAACAACCCAACTTGGAGCATGCCTGGCTCCTAATTTTGACCTTTCTGAGCAGATCTCGAATACTTCCACAGAGTCTCCGTCCTTAATTGAAAAGCTCACTGGGCTAGTTGGCCACTCTTTGTAAGTATTTCTGTTTAAGAATCAAGTGACTCCCGCAGAGGAAGCCATGGCCCACAGAATACAGCAGTCCTCAGAACTGTAATGTAAGTCACAAAGAATATGTTGATTTTGATTTTCGGGCCTTTTAGAGAAAAATCATTGAGTCACATTTTTTTTTTTACTAAAATGGCTTTTTATGTGTTTCATATTTCTATGCTCTTTTAAATATTACAAAAATGAGAGGACTTATATCTAGTTATTGCTCCTAAATTTTGTTTGAAGGGAATTGCGCTCTCTTCAGTGGCTTATGTTTCAAATAGCTGGTACACCTTCTTGGCATTCCCATTTTACAATAATGAGTTCGTTAACTACCCTATATTTTCCAGACCATTGACTGTGTCATATTGGCCCTCATACAAATAATTGCCTGTTTGGCTATTTGCTTATAAATAAGAGTGTTGAAAATGGTATGTAAATATGTACATGCATGCATAGTGAATATATTGTGAAGCCTCCCAAAATATGTAAATGCTCCCATTTCCTACTTGGGCGTTATGAAATACTCACCAACTACTCAGATAGAACTGTATTTATTATGCATGCAAGCCCACAATCTCTTTACCAACTATCATTTGTATGCAACACACAGAAGGTTGTGCTGTAACACAACGGTAAAAATAAAAAAGGCAATTTGAAAAGAAGCCCATTCCTTGCTTTAACTGCAGCAGAGGCTATGAGTGATCTTCCTTCAATACAGTGAAGCATAACCCACAGTTCTGAAATATTCAAAGCATTAATGAAAAGCCCTAGAATTTAATATTTGATCCAGAATGGTTATTTTTAAAGAAACTGAGATGTAGCATAATGTCTCATAGTGATTATCCTGCCCCTCAGGATATGGAATTGGAGTCAGTGGGAAGAATTTCAGGCCTGAACTGCAAGGCTTGAGAAGAGAGTATGGCCCCTACATGCTGCCACGGTGCTTTTCTTTTTCTTTTTCCATTACTGCAGTGCCCAGGCTGCAACCTGGGCCTTGTGCCTGCCAGGCAAGCAGTCTAGCAAATCACACCCTGGCCCTCTATTTGCTTTCAACAACACTAACACACAATGAAAGCAGTAACCTTAATATGGATCACAGGGTCTCCCACTAGGAGACCACCAGTTAACAGAGGTGTGACTGTCATTTTAGATGCTTGTATGCATATGGAACATTTGTAGCTGCACACAAGGGCACTTTTCTTCCTGTGTCATATTTTATAATTCGCTGTGGAAAATATCTAGGACCTTGTTTCCTCTTTGCCCCTGATCTACAATTGGTCACTTCCCTTTTCTCTTGATTTCAAGTCATCCATTTGATTTTCTTCATATTATTCCTTTATCTTGGAAATAGTTTGGAATTTCATTGATTATGATTTTGCAGCAGCACAATGAAGCTTTATGGGGAAAAAGTCACATTTTCTGATGGTCTTTATATGGGGATAAGAGTGGATGGGAGGATTGGGATAGTGCTTATCTTCAGGGAATGGACCAATTTTCAGGGCAAGGTGTTGAGAAAATGAGGCCTGATTATGGAAAGCTTTGTGAGGTTTGGGTATTAGGAAGTTGCTGTTTTAGAGTAAGTAGCTGGATGTGCAAGAGGAAAGGTACTGGAGTCCAGCATTAAGCATAAATTGGGGAGCAACAAAGTTCTCAATAGAAACAGTTGGTACTGTTGGGCCTGCAAGATATCACATTGGGTAGACAAGCCTGCCACTAAGCCTGATGCCCTGGGAGGAGATAACTGATTTTGCCAGCTGTTCTCTGACCTCCACATGTACACAGTGAAATATGAGCACACATGTGTTCCCACACCAAGTATATAAAATAAAAAAATGCAGTTAATTTTTTAATGAAAAACTTGGAAACACTAAGCCAGAACCAGACCTCACAATGGGGGGGAGGGTCTGTGGCTCAAAGATGAGGGACAGCTCTGAGTTTTGGTTCTTACTACCTTCAGAGGTCAGACCGACGGAAAAATTAAGGAAAGTCAATTGAAACCAGCTTTCAAATATCAAAATAATTATCCCTATTTTCTAAAAATATCTGCTTACTTCATTTCCTAAATCAAGAGACAGGCCTAAAGGCAGTTCTGTGGACTTTGAATACAGGTATATGTAACACTAAATACAGGTATATGTGGACTGGAAGCCTCTATTAATGTGTCACATGAAGCCCCTAGAGCAGGGCTGTACAGACTTCTGGCAATGCCATGATGGTATCTACAAAGGTATCAGGCCACATTCATGTTTATTTTGGGTCATGTACTACCTGCAGGCTGCAGGTTGGGCATACTTTCCCTAAAGGATGGACATCCCAAAGGATTTCAAACTCCACATTGAAAAGAGGTTCCTGCTTGGACTGTTCCTGTCATTCTCCTTTTTCCATGTGGAAAAACAACAACAACAACAACAACAAGATTTCCCAGACCAGGTAGAGAATGAACCAGGGATTGTGGAAATCACTTGCATAGTGCTTGTATCTGTGGGTGCCCCAAATTCTAGAAACTCAGACAAATATATCCCTTCTATTTTTATTAAATAATGCCAACAAAGAAACAACTAGTAAAAAGGGATATTATTTGTATTTCTGTACTTTATGGATACCCTGTACAGATAATTTAAAGCAATTGATTATTTTTCTCTGTAAAAGTATGCTTTGATACACTGTGATATTAAGTATATTAGTTTTTTTATTGTATTCAAGGTGATTACATTATTGTTATATTCTTCACATTTATCCTTTTTCATATTTTCTTAGCTGTTTTGTCATATTCTTCCAGCCATTGAAGAAGGAAGCTAAAAAGAAATCCCACACTAGCTCAGAATTGAGTATGATAAAGGGTTATTTATTTAGGGGTAGATTCACAGATCACAGTCTTCTGCACAAACAGGGAATAGGAACCAAATGAAGCCACTGGAAAAGAGGCTGGACCAACACTTTACATTGGCATATATAGTATAAGAGGCCATGCCTAAGTGGGTGGGTAACATAAAGGCTATTGGATGTAAGATTTCCTACAGCCCCACTTTGTTTAAATAAGAGAGTTTTAAGCCTAATACAAAATTATATACAATAAGAACAAATATTAGGTATAAAAAATAAGAATTACAACTAGCATAAACAATATCAAGCAAGAAACATGTGATAAATGTCTCAATAATTATCCAATCCTAAGGAGTTTAAATCTTGTATTATAAATAACTTAGCCAAGTCATGAGAGGAAAGGAACTACAACTATCTAGTCTTCAACCCCATCAAAGATCCGAGAAGGGAAATAATATTACTTGAGTAAGCAGGAAGTACAATTAAGCTACTTCCAAAATGTGCAACAAATGACAGAGACAACTGGCTACCTGGACAATCACCCAAAGTCTCATTTGCAACATTGGAGAAACCAACTTTGGCTAAGGTCTAGCTAGAGTAACTGACGGACCATTTTCAGAGGCAGGGAAATTTTCAAAACCATCTTACCCTGTCTTGGCAAGATTTAACAGTCTTTTTTTCTTGTTTCCTGCTTGTCCTGTCTGGACATAGTGCATTTTATCAGCAGTCGATATATGGGCAATTCCTTGCCCAAAGACCAGTTTTGCCAAGAAGAAAACAAACTCCAAGTGTAGTGTCTCTGGTGCTCAACATTCTCCTGGGAATAGAGCACTGCTGCCAGGAGCAAACATGTCTCACATCAACAGAACCCTAAGTTATTTAAATGTCATATTCTACAGCTCTTAAAAATTGTTGAAGATTACCCATCTATACAGAATACAATCTCTATGTATCTAAAGAACCT